AACTCCAGATATTACAGAAATTAACAATTTCTATGATCCTGGACTTCCAAACAAGTTTTATGATGAAATTAACAATGTTTGGAAAGCACATAAACTTTGTGCCAACAAGAAATTCAGACAACATCTGAGTTCTCTTACTGCCCTTATAGCTGAACAAGCAGTTATGACGGATGAGCTTAAAAAGCTCTGCATACAGATCTGTCTTACTATTGACTGGGAAAAAGATTTTTCGCTTTCTCAAATAAATTGTTTTCTCAAACTTGCCCAGTTGGTAGGAGAACAAGATTTTCCTCATAATACGTTTGCAAAAATCAATCGTATCTGTCTTCTTGAAAAAGCAAGAGACTTGTTTCCTCCAGATCTCTTTCGGATTATCTATCGCAAGATTGAAGATCACTATGCTATCATAAAAAATTATTATGCAATGTTCCATGAAGATATCAATAACTTTGATATGCTTTACAACGGTAAACGAGTCCCTAAGCTTACCTTTTTTATCATTCCTGGGATTGACTGGTCTATGGACCCTATTGATTGGGGATTAGTAAACAAAATTACATTTTCCTCCCATGATTCTTATCATTTCTTCCCAGCCATGATAAAATCCATGATTTACAAAGTAAGCAAACACTGGCAATACAGTCGTCATCTGACTTTTTGGGTTTCCAGTTCCATTGGAAGTTACGAAAAAACTCGTTTCTTTCAACCTTATCAAATATGGTACCTCAAACTCACCGCACATGATGAGTACGAGCATAATAGACTTTTAAATTCTGAGGAACTGGCCAACAGTATTGTTCCTTATTACTTTGAAATCCACAGTTTCTTACATCTACAGGACACTGCGAGACGTTTCCTTGATGGTTCTTATTATAACCAAGAACCAGTTTTCTATTGTTGTGACGGACGCAGACTCTTCATCACGACAATCACTTGTTATTATGGTTCTGATATGAATGGTGAACACCAGATTCAGACTGCTACCGCATTTTAAAAAGAAATCGTTAGCATGACTACACTGGATATCCCCTCTCGTGTCAAAGATGGCGCTGAAAGACTAAATCTTGAATGGGATATTGCTGATGCACAGTCACCTGCCAGTACTCCTCCTCTTGATGAATATGAACTCCATAATATCATCAATGCCATGGAAGGATAACCGACAATCTTCTCCACTCGACTGCAACCATGATCCAGCACACGACAGAAGACATGTCTTCTCTACTTTTTCCAAAAGCAAAAGTAGCCGAAAGCTGCCGACACACTATTCATCAACAGTGAAAGTTGCCTTCATCAACAGTGAAAGTTGCCGACACTCACTTTCCAAACAGTAAAAGAAAAGATTCGCTCTTATCTTCTCCGGCACTGTTTCTCTTTTGTAATGCTATTTAAACCATAGCCTCCAGAAGGTTTGGGCATCTGTTTTTCACCATTTGTTTTGTGTTTGTAAATCTCTCAGTTTCCCCTTGTCTTGTAAAAGTTCTGTTATAATTCCGCATATGTGTTTGTGTGTAATTGGTATCAGAGCCTACCTCGAATCTGGACCACTGTAAGTTTTATGTTTCTATGTAATAAAGTTTTCAGTATCTACGTTGTGCTTATGATATATCTCTCTTATGTTTGAATTCTGTTGCAAGCCCATATTATCCTGTCTTTGCTTATCTGTCAGTGTTTGTATGACCTTTGTGACAATTATTAAGCTGTTTACAGGAAACCTTGGTTTTAGGCACCAGAACAGATTTCGAAATATCTGAGACTCTATCCCTATGGCACAAAATAGCTCTGTAAACTGTATCCGAAACCTTACTGGTCACGATATCGATAATTATCGCCATATCTCCCATTTCACTTCCACAGAACCTATTTCATTCACGCAAGTCGGGGCAGGAATCAACTTTCTCGTCGACATGGTTACAGACTGGAAAATCGATTTCCAGCACAATTTAGAGGCAACCAACACCCATATGGCTTCCTCTTTTGAAGATGTCCAACAAGGAATGATCTCCTTGAATGACAAACTCGAAACTCTTACCCAGATTTTCACTCTTTCATCCACCCCTGATGCTGCTCTTCAGGAACAAATAAATCAAATGACTATAGATTTAGCCAAACTTCAAAAAGCTAAAATGTCTGATTTATATCCCCCTGATCCACCAGATCCTCCACCACAGGATTCGGCTCTTCCCTCCGACGATACCTTTCCAACAGTTAACCCCTCTATTGGAAAACCGACCCGGTACAAGGTTAATATCCGAAGCAATAGGGCAATGCAACAAAACATGGTCCACAAATTCCCCAGCCTTTTTGCACATGAAGCACAAATTAATAGTAATATGGCGTCTTCTCCTCAGATTATCAAGGGTAAGAATGCTTCCAAGAGACATCGTCCATGTGAAAAAAGCCACTTTTACTGGTGTTGAAGTCCTCCAAACAGCTTTCCAAAGAAAAGAAAAACGATGCGTACAGACTCCATGAAACTTCGATAAAACAATCTTACCTCAAACACCCCACTGGATCCTCCCTCCCACACCATTCTATCCCTGCCCTCCCACTCCAACACTTGCCTATACAATAAACCCATAAAATCAGTAATCTCCATCGGATCCCAATCATTAAAGTTTCTACGGAAAATCACATCCCAAGTTACTCTCCCGTTATCAAGCCGATAATAGTCTGCAACCATAGCATGCTTATCCACAACAATCCTAAACAACAATGGAAATCTACTCGCCAACACCTCATCCCCACAACACAAATCCTTCCAAAAACTAACCTGACTCCCATTCCCTACTCTAAATCTAATCCGTTTTGAGAACTCATCCCAACCCCTCCGAATTTTTTCCAAACACCCACACCCGCTGAAAGAGATACCTCACTAGACTTCCATCCTCCCCGCTCTTCCCCAAACCGGCAAGCAATAATCCGCCTCCATAACATAGACCTCTCACACCCAAACCTCCAAAGCCACTAAGGTCTTTCCTATTATCAAGTTCAAACACTTTGTGGACTTGATTGGTGTTTGTACTTATTGAGGCCCTTAGGGGGTAGCTGGGAGATGGAGTTTGGCGGAATTCGAGTTAAGGTGGAGATTTGTGATGTTTATGGCCCAAATTTTGTTTCGGCCCAAGTCGTTTCGACCAGAAAATGGGCTTTGCATGGTCCCAAGACCACCCATTTTTTTGGCGAGTTGTGGACCCTATTTAGTACTCTCTTGTAACTCGGTATATAAGGGCGTCTAGGGTTTAAAGGGGGATAACGAGAGAAGACTGAAAATCATAGGAAAGGGAGTGGAAGTGAGAGCGAAAGCTAGGGTTTGGGGGTTGAAACTTGTAATCTCCAGTTTTTTGCATAGTAGAATCTTTCACCGAATCTTCATCGTAGACATAGGCTTAGACTTGAGCTGAACCAATCTTTGTGTTCTTTTTGTATGGCGTGTTTACTTATCTATCGTGATTATTGTTTTGTTCTTGGTTCGCTGCATTTGTCGTACAGCCACGGCTTATCTGTCCACGCTATCCTAAAAAGACTAGGAAAGATGCATGCCAAAAGGCAGTCACCACACCAAATACCCTCTCAAAAACGAATGCTCCCCATCCCTGACCTTGAATATGATGTGTTTAAATAATTCATCCCATCCCTTCCAAATGAATTTCCAAACACCTACGCCACGTGGGAGCCTAACCTCAAGGGAGCACCAACCACCGCCCTCCTCCACGAATCGCAGAGATGACCATCCTCCAAAGCCTCTATCGCTCTACGCCAAATCTCCACAGCAACTTCCCAACAAGAGCCTTATTTTTATTTATTTTTTTGATAAGTAAGATTTCATTAAAGGCATTCAAAAGGGGAGCGCTCCCAACGGAATACAATAAGGCAGTAAAAACTGAGAATAGATGAGAAAAGAAGATAATAATTTGGGAAATTTTCACCACATTAAATGATGGTGTTCTATTGTGTATTTATAGTTACAACAATAAGATAGAGATGGAGAGATTCTCTCAATAAACTTATCTGTTTGTTAGTTGTTACAACAATAGGAGAGAGATGGAGAGATTCTCTCAACAAACCTATATGAGATTCTCTCAACAAACCCTTTGATCTGATTTTCTGGTTGATCTAATATATCACTAGCTAATCTCTTAACACCCCCCTTCAAGATGATGGTGGAGCAAAGGACAAACCAGCAGCTTGTCTCTTAGTAGTTGAAACTGAGGTACTGATAGAGCTTTGGTGAAGAAATCTGGTCAGCACTTGGTACAAACACGATTTTTAGAGAACCACGTAAAACACGTTCCCTTAAGAAGTGATAGTCAATCTTAATATGTTTGGTTCTGGCATGAAGAACTGGATTGGAGGCTAACTATGTAGCACTGATATTGTCCCAATAAAGGATTGGAGGATGGTGTAATGGGACTTTTAAGTCTCGAAGAAGGTATGTAAGCCACTGGATATCAACTGTTGTGTGTGCTAATGCCCTATATTCTGATTCCGCAATTGATCTAGAAACAGTGATTTGCTTCTTAGTGGCCCAGGTGATGAGGTTAGGACCAAAGTAAACACACAAGCCAGTAGTAGAACATCGCATCTGGAGAACTAGCCCAATCAGCATCCCCTCAGATGTCAAAAATTAAGTTTGTCCTAATCAACATATCATACTGAGTAATGGCGAATTCTTTTTTTCAAAATAGGGAGGAAAAACGAAAAAGGGTAAGCATCTGTATTGTTCATTTTCTGCTGTTGTTTTAGCTCTGTTCTGAGCTTCTATTTTGAGGTACTGTTGTTTTGGTGGTTGCTATTTTATAGCTTCCACTTTTCCTGTTGTACCATATTGTCTTGTATTATTAATAATATAACCATATTGGGTGGGGAGTTTGGGGTGTGGGGAGGGAAGTAAGCAAGATTCAAATAATTATCAGATCTCAAAACAATAATTAAAACAAGAAAGGGCAAAACAATGAATAGGTTTGATGTGCAAGAGTGAAAGAAGTAGCATAGCTAACCATTACATTCCACTATTCGATGCTTTAACGATTGTGAGAGGCGTACAATATCGAATCGACAGTTCAAATCGAAGAACATCACTAAACGCTCCAAGCCTCCATAGTGCACACCATTCCATTCTTTAGGAAGAATACAACTAATTGCGGCCTAAATACAAATTATGTATTTGTATTTCACAAAAATTAAATAAAACAAAATAAATGCAAAAGGATAAAAATAAAATCATATATATATATATATATATATATATAATGAATGATGTAGTAGTAGCCTAGTAGGCATTACATACCTCAATCAAGATCTGGGTTTTGGCCGAAGGAGAGGGCCCAACGATCTCGACGACGTTGCCGACGCGCAGAGGGACCCTGTGGAGAGGAGGGATAAGCAACAAGGGTCGCTCCCTCAGAACCCTAGCCAGCATTTCTTTGGCGCTCTCGTCTCCCTCGATCCATTCGATTCCTTTTCCTTTTGCTTTTGCTTTTGCTGCTGATGATCTCATTTCTTTTACACTCCTACGCTTGCTTGCTTTTCCTCCAGTTCCACGATGGAGTAAGCAGTTTTTATTTGCTTCTCTTCAACTATTGGGCGGGCGGTAGAACAAAACACTCCTTCCTTGACAACAGTCGCGCGTTTTTCACCCAAAGTGAAGAAGGGGCACAACCAAAATACAGTCAAAATCGTCTCCTACGCAACAGTGAATATGTCCCAGGCTGCCATTTTGCCACAGTTAGTCAAAGAAAAGAAAAGAAAGTAAATTAATTTTTACTGAAGACAGTATTAGTGTATATATATAAAGTTTGCCACGACACTTGGTCAAGACAAAAGAGAGTAAGTCAGTTTTTTTAGTACACATATACAAACCACGACACTTGGTCAAGACAAAAGAGAGTAAGTCAGTTTTTTTAGTACACATATACAAAATTTATTCATCCCAACTTTCTCCTTAATAACATTTCAATATTTTTTTGAATGTACATCCTAATATTTTTTTAGAATACGATCTACAATTCATCTATTTCTCTTGTTAGGAAAATATTTGGACGTTGTTCCTGCATTACAATATTTTTCTAATGTACATCTCAACTTTCTCCATATTAGCATCTCAATATTTTTTTAACGTATATTCCAAACAAGATAAAGCAATGGATAGTGTGATATTGGTAAGGAGAAAATTGTGATATTGGTAAGAAGAAAGTTGTGATGTAGGTAAGTCAGTTTTTAGTATAAATATAGAAAGTCTATACATTCCAACTTTCTCCTTAACAACGTCCTAATATTTTCTAAATTTCTCTTTACTAACATCCCAACATTTTTCTAATGTGTATCCCAAACAAGATAAAGCAATGAATCGTGTGATGTTGGTAAGGGAAAAGTTGAGATATAGCTTAGGTTAGGAAAATGTTGTTATATACAATTTATACTAAAATATGTTTATTTATATATTTATACAATAAGTGGGATGTTGGTAAGGAAAAAATTAGGATGTAGGTTAGAGAAATGTTGTGATATACAAGAAGTTGTAGGTTATGGAAATGTTTGTGTAGAGAGAGAAAAAAAAGAGCAAAAAGTTAGTCTTTTTGATTTGGTCTCGTATGTATGTGTGTATGTACATACAAAAGTTTTGCTTTTTTAATTTTTAACTTTTACGATTTTAACTCACTAGTTGTGACCGGTCCTACTGTTGCGCAGGAGACGATTTTGATCCACCAAAATACTGCCCAAGTGTTTCCTTACATTAGTCAAAAAAAAAAAAAAAAAAAAAAAAAACAAATATATAGATATAGGAAAAAGTACATTTGAGGTTTGCAATTTGCTAAAACGACACACAGATGAAAAATAACCTATTTTGGAACAAAGACACCCTAATGAGATTTACAAACCAAACAGAGCCTTAAAACATGTGAAAAGTCAACATTACCCTTCACTATTTTATTAATTTTAATTATAAAATATCAAAATAATTAAATGACCAAATTACCCTCTTGGTCTGAGCACCCCATCTAACTCAAGAAGAACTGTGATACCCCTCGACTCTGAGACTGGGTTGATCAGGCCCAAGCCCGAACCCGAGGGAATATCAAACAATTAAAGTATTTTAAAACGAGTACATAATATAAAATGAAAGAATTAATTGACAAAGCTGAAAGAATTATTAAATATAAATCCTCCAATTGATAATGAAAAATAATAATCCGATTCTCCAAAACCTCCAAAAGTACAACTTGAGAATCCATCTAGTGGACCCCTGTGACGGCCCAAGTTTTTCAACCCGGTGCGTAAGTGATGAACCGAAAGTTGACCCGGCAACGGATCCGAAATGCAGAAGCAAAAGATGAAACCAAAGACTTTAGAGATATAAACCATCTCTAAGACACCAATGTGACCTTCCATGAAGCCACAAAGCTCAAAGAGAACGAAAACGGAAACAAAGGTCAAAACGGCCAAAAACTGTGAACCAAGGGGCAAAATGGTCAACTCACCATTAAAAGGAGAAACTTGACTCTAAATAAGTAAAAAAAAAAAAAAAAAAATCTAATCTAATCATTTCACAACATTCCAAGAGGTTCTAAGAACATTGGACAAGAATCCCACAAAATGCCCCTTCCCGGTTGAAGTGAAAACTGACACTACTTCACTAAAACATGAATAACTCCCACTATGATTGTAATCTGAGAATGGAATTGATACCATTGGAAAGTTGACTCAAAATCCATGAATTTAGGCTCAAGAATCACCCCATTTGGATTTAAAACGAAGGAGTTATGACCAATTGAAGTCGGAAGAACAGTGCTGAAACTGAACTGAAGTTGTGCTTGGGATCTACGTATTTCGGTCGACCGAAATGAGCCATCGGACGACTGAAATGAACAAAATTTGTGCCAAAAACATGTTTTTGAGGTGTGGTTACTTTGGTAGACTGAAATGAACCATCGGTCGACCGAAATAAGCCATTGGTCGACCGAAATGGCCCTGAACAGTAGAAATGGCTACTGGAAATGGGTTTTTACTGTGCCTTGATGATTCCAAATGCCATCGGTCGATCGAAATGAAGTTTCGGATGACCGAAACACCACGTAAACCTGCTATAAGACCTGTTATGATCAAGAATTGCTGAGACTTCACCCAAGTCTCAAACCCCAACATGAATATGAACCAAAAACAAGGTTTTAAGCTATATAAGCATGCTCGCAAGGGTACTTTCGATTGTGATGACCTTGTGGGCGAGTGTGCTGTGGGCGGGTGCGAGAGACACTGTCAAGCTACCACACTGGCAAGTTACGGGTACACAGTCCCACATCGCCTGGGTAGAGGAAAGGTGAAGTGCTTATATGTAAGTGTGTCATCTCCAATTGGTATGAGGCCTTTTGGGGTAAAGCCCAAGAGCAAAACCGTGCGGGCTAAAGCCCAAAGCGGACAATATCATACCATGTGGTGGAGTTGGTCGTTACAAATGGTATCAGAGCCTGAACCAATTGGAAGTGTGCCGACGGGGACGTCAGGCCTCCAAGGGGGGTGGATTGTGATGACCTTGTGGGCGGGTGTGCTGTGGGCGGGTGTGAGAGACACTGTCAGGCTACTACACTGGCGAGTTATATTAAAATGTATTACAATGGCCCATAACCTCATTACATGATGTTTACAAAATTTGACATGCCAAACCTTAAGGTTAGAAAAGAATACATTTCAAAACAAAACTTGATACTTAAATGCATACACTTAAATCCTTAGAGTTTATGGCCGTTGGCCTCATATCATACACATTAAATAGGTTCCAAATAGTGTATCTAAGTACACTTTACATGAGATAAGACAAAAATAGCATATTAAACCTATCTAAGTGTTACAACAGTAAAAGTAAGACTTAAACATGCAAACACTTGTATATGAACAAGAATGCTTTGAAAGAAACTTTAAATCTCCAAACCATCAAAGATAAATGCCAATCTCCATATCTTGAATCCGGTACCTGAAATATGCCCCAGTAACATTGGGGTGAGCAACATAAAGCTACTCGTAGGAAATAAGCATGCATTGACCTAAAGTTTTACAAGTTTGCATGATTTAACCATTGTGGTTCATTCCACCTAACGTCTATGTCAAAGGTGAGACTCAGGGAGCATCCTAAGCTACCTAAGACCATTTCTAGCATAAAACACATCATCCATGCAATTCGATAACATAAGAACATGTTATACAAAGCAACAAGATATAGATTCTCAAAGTTATCGACTTGAAATCTAAAATGCTAGAATAACCAAAGTGGGTCATGCCACCTAACGTCTATGTTCCAAATGAAACTATAGGATCATTCCTAAACCACATTTGAACATATAAGCATAATGTACTTAACAACAGCAAAGCTCACAATGATTCACTAAAATCATAAAACATAGATGTACTTAACAACATCAAAATCGCTAATAGCCAAAACCATAAGTCACAATATAAATATGATTGTTAACTTAGAATTGAATGCGAAAACAAGTAGCGGAAGACTTGGACATCACGCTTGGAATTCTGCCGAGACCTCAATGGTTATTCCGGGTACTAACCCGCAGGGAAGACCACCCTAAGTGCGCACTATCTCAATTGGGGAGAACTCATATCTCCCACACTAAAGCCAAACTCTAGCCATGTCACATGTAACAACAATGTCCCAAGAGAATCCAAAATATACCAAATAAGTTCACAACTCATACTTAATTTATATAATGCACGAAATCACCTTCCATACACAAGTAGGTTGAAACCACACAATCCATGTCTTAGGATTCAAATTCTAAAATGGCATACATAATGTTAACACAAAGTGCACAATTCATTACACAAGTCAATCATATATTCAATATTGGAAACAAGTTCTCATGAATATAAATTTAACAACAAGGTACTCAATGCTTAAAACATAATCAAGTGAATACTCAACAAGTCCAAATCCATGATCTCAACATAGAAGCAACTTCTAAAACATGATTAAATCCATGGATAAACAAGATAGAATTTAATTAAACCAAAATAATTAAACTCTCTAGATTTCACATCATTTCCAAATGGCCTCAATTTAATATATGTTAAAGGACAAATCATGGTCATTACATATATGCATTTAAAAGCTTAATTAGGCCAATGAAACCACAAAATAGATTTTAATTTATTCATTTAATTAAAGTCTCTAGAATTTCAAACTCAACCAAATGCTCTCAAATTAAAGTATGTTAAAGAACATGCCAAGACTTAATTTAAAAGCATAACACAAGTTCATTTCATGTAAAGTATGGCCATGGGAATTAAAATTTCACAAAGAAAAGTATTAAATAAAAGATGCAACTTTTATTCAAATAATTCCGATTAAATATATGTTAACAAACATATTAAAACTAAGCTTTCTAGTATGCCACAATTCAAATTAAAGTTATACATCATCATGAAAATTTAATCTTATAAAAAGAATTAAATATTACTAACTTTTTAGATTTGATTCAAGGCATACATATAGGTTGTATAATCATGGGAAACACATAATACAACACACAAATAATCCTAAAACATTCCCTACCTAAATTTGAGATGAAATCTCAAATCCCCACCAAAATGAATGTGCTCCGAATCCGACAAAACTT